ATTAACTTAAAATGTTTGCTGAGCACCTGTGTGCCAGATACTCTTGTAGGTAGTAGGATTGTATTTGTGCAACAGATTATATAACATGATAAATGATTTTAGAACCTCCCAAGAAACAGCAGGGCAAGGAGGACTTGAGACTACCAGGTGGCAGGGGGATGGGATGGGGCCTTCAAATGTGGGATGGTCAGGAAAGGCCCTGCTGAAAAGATGACCTGTAAGCCCAGACTTGGGCTCCCTCCCTCCGGAGGGAGACAGACCATGCAGGCTCCTGGGAGGAGAACATTCCCAGGCCACAGGGACCATTCTCTTCACGGGTCCCAAGGTAGGAGGGTGCCTGGTGTGTTTGAGGAAGAGTAAGTTGGTAGAGCTGGGGCGGGATGACGGGGTAGGAGGTTAGGCCAGAACAGGCTCCCAGTGCCTAGGCTTGTCAGTCATTGGTCACCGAAAGGTTTCGGTTGCTAGCTCAAGTTGTGACAGAAGCCACGTTTTTGATGGAAGAGGCTTGCAGTCTGAGCACATTAGCCTGAGTCGGGGTGGGCAGCAGGGGTGAGGACAGGACTGACGGGGCTAGGCCCTGTGCTGGCCCCTATCCCATCAGCCCACTTATTGCCCCACAGTACTATAACCAGGAGTGGACGTTGTGGGATCGCTTTGAGGTCCAGGGTCTGCAGCCTAACGGCGAGGAGATGACACTCAAACAGTTCCTTGACTACTTTAAGGTGAGGCCCCTTTCTCACCTCCACCCACAGGCAGAGTGCTGGTGAGATTCACTAGGCTGCCCACCCCCGTGACACCGCTGTCCCCCCTTCCCCCTCCTCCAGACAGAGCATAAATTGGAGATCACCATGCTGTCCCAGGGTGTGTCCATGCTCTACTCCTTCTTCATGCCAGCCGCCAAGCTCAAGGAACGGTTGGATCAGCCGTGAGTTGGGGGGCTTCTGCTCACAGCTGTTCTAGCCCATTTGGCTGCCCTTTGCCTCTGTCCCTGCCACCCAGCCCTCCCTCACTTTTTGCCTCCCTGACCCTCTGTTCCCCCCACCCCTCAGGATGACAGAGATCGTAAGCCGTGTGTCGAAGCGAAAGCTGGGCCGCCATGTGCGGGCGCTGGTGCTTGAGCTGTGCTGCAACGACGAGAGCGGCGAAGACGTCGAGGTTCCCTATGTACGATACACCATCCGCTGACCCCTGTCCACGCCCGTAGGCTGGCCCCAGCCCTGACTCCTACCCCACCCCACCCCCCAGCCCAGGGCTCCCATCAAGCCTCTGGCAGTGGTCCAGCTAGCCACGCCTGGTGTCCCCTCCTCATCTCCCTCCCTGCACCCCTCTTGCCGCTGCTTTCTACCTTATTTGGAACCTGAATCCTAATAAAGAATTATTAACCCAGACGTGGCATTCCCTGCTGGTTCCAGGGAAGGAAGAGACTTCCCAGAGCTGTCCAGTTCAGGTGGTAGCACAGAGGGCTCAACCCCACCCCAGCAGCCAGTTGCCTGGGCAAAGAAAATGGGAATTGCCGCTTCTTCCTCCCACCCTCCGTGTTTGGGAAGAGTTGGATGGAGGCATAGGGTGGAGGTAGCTGGGTCCATGTGACTGTATTGGAGCTGGGTTCAAATTCCATCTTGTCCAGCTCTAGCTCCCAACTCCCCACCACCATGTTGATTTTGGTGTTGTTGTTTTTTTTTTAATTTTTTTATTTTTTTTTATTTTTATTTTATTTTTATTTTTATTTTTTATTTTTTTGATTTTGAGAGGTAGTGAAGAGTCATGTTTGAGCAAGCCCTGCAACTTCTCTAACCTTGTCTTTCGTGAATAAGAACGTTACTGCAACCCGTCAACCAGGGCTTGGTTAGCATGGCTTATGTCCTTGGGGGGCAGATCCCTTCCCATGTGGCTTAAAGCACCGAGACTCCAGACAAGTCTTAAAATCATGGTTCCCAGGACCAAGTGCCCAAGGTCAACTTCCCAGCTACACGGGGCTCTAAACAACTGTTGGACTGAGGAAGATCATGACTGTTCAGACTTTGCAGTTTTTATGAAAATACTTGGCTGAGAACATCTGTAGAGGAAAAGCCCCTTTCCCACTCCACCCTGCTCCCCCTCGTGCCTGGTCTGCTTGTCCCAAGGCTGCCTACCTTTAAGAAGAGAGTGGGCTCTGGGTTGTTGGTTAGTTAGAGCAGGCTCACCACAGGCCCTACTAGGACTGCAGAGCTGCCCACGCTCGTCCTTGGTCTTGACTGAGTACTCCGGACAGCTGGAAGCACCAATCAGACTGGCTACCTGGTGTTTGAGGATGCCAATCCTACCTCTCCCTCAGCCAGCCAGAAGCCCAACTTTTCTCCCACTTGGAAATAGACCCCTCGTTCCTTCATTCAAACCTGGGTACTGGGAATAGTATAACCTATCCTGGAACTTGGCCTGACACTCATCACAGCCTGCCCCACATCTGCTGCCTCCTGGGCCAGCTCCAGACCCCAGGCACAGTGTATGCCCTTGTCCACCTCCATCCTGTGATTATTTTTTTTTCCCTTGGCCTACTCTGCTTGGGTGACTTCATCCTTCCATACTTCCTTTTTATTCCCCTCCAGGACACTGGGGACTGAAGTGCTTTACCTCTGGCATCTATTTAGTGGTGATGCTGTTTAAGTGGAGAGGTTTTCCCACCAGAGATACTTTTTCCATTACTGCTGCTCAAGAGTACCCCACACCTCTGTCCACCATTGCTACCATCTGAGACTTGAAAAAAACTTCCTCTGCTCCCTTTCTCTACTATCCCAACTCTTTGTCCATGATCTCCCCCATTACAGCCCTTGATTCTCCAGACACTTCTGTCCCTTTGTTCACCCCAGCTCCTGGATCCCCTTTACAACCTTACTCATACCTGAAACACCAAGAACAGCTTCATCAAGAACCCCTGAATCCTGGTTGCATTTTAGCTCCCCAATGTGTGCCATTTTCTGTCATGTTTGGCTACCATTTTAACACCAACAAGATAGAAGACGAGGGTTAGTGGGCAGGATTTGGGTCACTTCACTGAGCCCTGCCCCCTGCACCCAGCAGGCATGAAGGAAAGGATGGTACGTGGTTTTCTCTTTTCTTGGCCTAGAGCTGTTTGCCACCAAATACTTGCCACAGCAATCCTTGAGTGCTTACTATGTGCCAGGCACTATTCTAGGCATTGGAGACAGCAATGGATCAAAAATATCCCTGCCTTGGGTGTGTGTTGGGGAAGGGGGCGGGTGCTGCTTATGTTCTGCTAGGGTGAGACCCAGAATAGACAAACACAAGTAAATTGTAAGAAGTTAACTGGTATCATTCGAAAGGACCAGGCCTGGGGGGGTCTAGAATGTTGGGGGTGCAGGTAGGCATTTTTAACGCAGGTAGGAAATTCAGGGTAGGCTTCATGAAGGTGACATTGAAGTAAAGACTTAGAAGAAGTGAAGGTATTAAGCATGTGGGTATCTAGAATATACTAGGCAGGGGGAACAGCAAGTGCAAAGTCCCTAGGGCTGGATTGTGCCTGCTTTATTCAGAAACAGCTAGAACGAAACGAATATGGAGTGAGACAAAGAAGAGTAGGAAATGAGAATGAAGTCAGAGAAATGATGGACCTGATGGTCTAGCCCACGGTGGACTTTAGTCCTTGTCAAGTATTTCCCCTCCCATCGTACTCTGGTAAATCCTCCCTAGTATGAATCTACCAGTGTGATCAAGGCTGCCATAAAACGAAGCCCAGAAGAGGCGGGGAAGCTGGTTTTGGACTGGGATACAGTGTAAAGATTAAAGATGTCCCAGAAGGCCTGCCAAAAGCTGCCGCCATTTGAGCTGGGCTTGTTGATAGAGTTTTCCAGGCATAGAGCAGTGAGGCATTTAGGTATGCTGTCAGTGCTTTACACATAATAGGCATGCAATAAATAAAACAGAAAATCGCAGACCTGGGAAGAGCCACGGGGGCGGAGGGACGACTCTGACAGGCAAGTGTTACCTGAGAGGTGGCAGGAAAGAAAACCCAAAACCGGGTGCATACGCAAACGCTCCCGTGAGGCGGTAAAGAGGTCTCCCGACCTAAAGTCTCAAGCATGCGCACTAACGCACCTTCCCCTCTAAAGGTCCGCCTTTCCTCTTTTCTCAGCCTAAGCTCCACCTCGGGAGTCTTGTAAAGGGAAAATGGGAGGGGCCAGGGGCGGGACTAAAGGCGATTGAACGCTCTTTTGGCCAATCATCTTGTGAAATATTCGGCCTATAGTGAGAGAGGCATTCAGAACAAAAAGAAATGCCCGCCTCCGGCGCTGAAAACCAATGAAAACCGGGCAGAGGCGGGGGTGTGGGGGGGCAGTGAATCACGCCTCTCCAGCTTAGCCACTCCCTTCATTCTTGCGCGGCCTCACCCCAGGGGGCAAATCCGATTGGCTGGACGACAACCTCAAAGGGCGGGGCCGCACATGTTCACAGTGGGAATGAGCTAGCGGAGCGGGGGGTGGGGGGAAGCTGGGCGGGGTTAGACTATGTCCTATTTAAGGTGGTAAAGGCAAATGATTCTCCAGGTTGCTTCTCCTAGAAAAGTCATCTTCTCGCGAACCTTTAAAATTCCTGCCTTCTGAGGCAGTTCAAGGGACTCAAACTGACAGCCTCATCTATCTTTTTCTTCCTTGCAAAAGTCCCGTTTGCCACCATGGGGATGTACCAAGTGAGACCAAGTAGGGGGACCGAGTGGTGACCGGCAGGCTGATTACTGGCTGCTGCCCACTTCGGTGGGCAAGCAAACTTCTAGCGAAATCGGAACTGAGTACTAAACAACCTCTACACTTCCCCCTGGCGCCGTTCCAGGGCTGGCGCCACATTCCCCGGTGGGCGCGCAATGGCCGCGCCCCCTCCCGGTGCGGACGGGTCTTTTGGTACATGCAGTCCGAGGTGAGTCCCCTCCTTCCCACTTCAGCCTTTTCGGCGCGTGCGTGCGCATGCGCGGAGCGCGGCGCGCGCGGCGGTTGGGCCGTTGGGTGTTCGGCCCTGGGATCCGCCGCGTCTCCGCAAGCAGTCGGCTCTGAGCCGCGAGCCGCCGTGAGCTCTCGGGTTCGAGCGGGCGCCAGCGAGCCCGGGGGCATCGCCCGCAGCGGCCAAGCTCATGGCCGGCTGAGCGGGACGCCGCCTCCGCCTCAGCCACCGCCGCCGCCGCCGCCTCCTCCTCCTCAGCCGGCGGCGGCCCGGGCCCAGCAGCCATGGCCGAAGACTACTGGGACGGGCGCCTGCGGCGAACAGGAGGAGAAGGAGGTCGCGCGGCCTCAGCCCGGGCCGCCGCCCCAGGCGCCGCCGCGCCGGCCCCGCGGCGCTGAGGTTGCTCGCGCGCCCCCGCCGGTGAGCGCGTCCGCGAGACGTGGGGTGGGGGCTGCCCTTCCTCTTGCAGAACCAACCCAGACCCCGGGCGGTGCCCAGGGGTCTGGGCTGCACAGCTGGCATGTGCCCCCTCCCCCAGCGAATTTCCCAGAGTGCACCGGGGCAAGGGTCATTCGGGGCCTCCCTGACCTTGGCCCCGCCCTGGGCCCGGTCTGGGAGCTGGGGATGGGCAGCCCTGTGGGTGCTAATGGGGAGCAGGGTGATCAAAAGACCAAAAGATGTGGAAGTGGGTGGTGAAAGGCTCGAGGTTTGCTAATGGCTTGAGCTTTGGAGGGGTCGGAGCCGGTGATAAGTCTTACCGCTGTGTAGGGCTTGACGCCCAGCGTATGCTAACCGGGGGGTGGACAGTGGGTGGCCCCGACGGTGTGTGATAGGGGAGAGTATGTCAGAGGAATGCTGAGGTATGCAAACGGAGTTATAGGTGCGGAGAGACCCCGTGTGTGTTAATGGGGGATAAGGTGGTAGAGATAGCAGGAGGTATGCTAATAGGATCAGAGCTCTGAAGCCCTATGTGTGGTAATGAGCGTTCAGGATGGTGTTAATACTATGTATTTGTCCATGAGGGACTGCAGCGTGTGGGTCTGGAGAGTGCTCCTGGAGGTCAGGATAGTGGAAGAACTCGGAGCGTTAAGAGTGTGCTAATGGGGGTCATCGCTGTAGAGGGTACGTTCCTGTGTTTATAATAAAGGTCTGAGTAGTATGAGGCCCAGTATATTGCTAATGGGGACAGAGTGGTGGAAGACCCGAGCTGTGTTACTGGGTATCAGGAGTTATGGGTCTATGTGGAGTGGGAGGGCACAGTGGTGAGGGAAATGTCTTAGCACTGTAAGAGGTTCAGTCTATTAAGGGTTAAGATGGTGTGAAGTTAGTGTGTATCCATGAGGACAAGGGTTATGAGATTCTGGGATGCGATAAGGGACAGTTACGTATGAAATTCTAATGACAGTTGATATGGGTTTAGAGCCTTAGAGGTGCTTAAATGTGTGCCATCAGGGGAAGAGTCAGCAGTATGAGGTCTGGAAAATGCTAGCGAGCATCAGAACATTGCGAAGACAGTATGTGTTTGTGTCCACGGGGAACTGGGGTGTGTTGAGGTTCCAAAGGGTGCAGTAAGGAGGATTGGGGTCATGAAGAGAACAGGCATAACTGTGGAGGAGTTGAAGCAAAGAGAAATTAAGGACAGGAATATGTGAAGGTCTAGGTGTGGTAAAGTGGATTTAGAACGATGGAGGGCTGAAGTGTGCTAATGGGGCTCCAGGCTGAATGAAGACCTGTGTGCGCTAATGAGGGTCAGGCCATTATAGAACAGTGTTTGTGTGTCCATGGGGAATGGGGCTGAGTAAGGGTTCAGGGTGTGCTAATAGGGAGTACTGTGTGAGTTCCAGTGTATGTTAATAGAGGTCAGGGTGAAGTGAAGGTCCAGCTTGTGCTGACAGGAAGTGGTGGGGACAGGGTAGTGTAGAAGGATCAGAATATGTGTTTAATGATGGTTATAGCCGTGGAGGGGTCTGAGTGTGGGCAAAAACAGGTCAGGGATTGGCAAGTTTCACTTTGTGTTAATGAGATTCAGGGGAGTGTGAAGGTCCAGTGAGTGCTAATGTGGGTCAGCTGTAGAGGGTCCCAAGTGCGTGTTAATAGGGGTCAGAATCATGCACGGGGAACAGTGTGTTAATGGGGGTAAGTGCTTTGGAGAACCTAACAGGCGGCTGGGCCTGGGAGGCATCCAAGAATGTGGGGTGGTAAGAGTTAAACTAGAGGGGCCCGAGCATATTCAAACAGAATTCTCTGCTCTTTGGGGGCTCTGTATGCTGATGGGGGTTGGAAATAAATGGAGAAATTGCAGGTGCTGAAAGTTAGAATGCAGGGAGGCCTTTTTGAGGGTCCAATGTGTGCTTATGGGAGTCTGGACAGGCTGAGGGTGATGTGTTCTTGGTGGGAGTGAGTAAATGTAATGGCTATGTCCTCAGTGGTCAGTGTGGTGTGAAGTGATGAGTGCCCTTGTGTGTGAGAGTATTCCGAGGATGGGTGTGTGTCCTCAGGGGTCAGGAAGGACATATGCCCTTTTTTGGTGGAGTTGTGTATCCAATTTCTTGTTCCCTCCCTCACTATTCTAAAATCTAAAAAGCTCAGAAGATGGAAATAATAACATTTAAAAGTTTTATCGTATATTAATGTTCAAGTGTCTCTGTTCACAAAGGTCTGCCCAGGGCACCCCTGCTGGGAATGTTGTGTGATACGCAGGTTTTGTATCCTGTCTTCCTAAAATCCCCAAAAAACTGAACTCTGGAACATGTCCAGCCCTTGGAGTTTCCAGTTAGAGGTCATGGACCCTGGCTCCTTCTGGCTCCCTCCTCATCTTCCATCCAGCCCTACTTACCGTCCCCCCAGATGTCCCATTCCCTGCCACAACAGGCAAAGCGACTGGGTATTTGTACCATGGATGCAAGACTGCCTTTGGGGGCTGGCCATGCTTCTTCAGCTTCAGGTCCAGTGTTTGGCCTACTGGGTCAGGATTTTTGTTGTTATTCTGGGTTCTCTGAATGGACCTCATCTTCTTTACTGGGGTCTTTCTGCTAGGCTGGCCCCTCCTGGGGGTGGTGAGGTCAGGTAGGCGGAAGCAGGGTGTAGGGACCAGTGAGGTAAGCACCTGATTTCAAGGTAACAGATGACCCACTTCTCTCCTCGAATCCAGCCTCAGCCCCAGCCCCACCTTCCTACCTTCCCACCTTCCCACCTCCTATCTAGCTCTACTTCCCTTGGGCCCAGGGCCATCGTAGGTCCTGCTGTGAGTCCATATGGTTCCTAGGCCAGGTCTTTCCCCCTCCTTGTTGGCCTAGAGCCCAGGAGGAAGCAGAAGAAGGCCAGCCTAAGCCTTTTGGTGGCCCTGTTCCCTCCAGCAGCCCCATCTAGGTCATCTTCCTGCCGATGCCAGTGTCCCTGGGCCACCTTTTCTGGAGTTGTTCACGAAGAGCCAACTTTACCCTGCCCATCCTGGTAGAGATTGGTCTTAGGCCCTCAGTACCCTGATTCATTAATTTCTGCCATAAGCACTTTTTGAGCATCTACTCTGTGTCAGTCACTGTTCCAGGTCCTCAGGATATAGCCGTGACCTAAACAGAAATCTACCCTGGCGGAGCTGATCTTCTAGTTATGGCGGTGAGGAGACAGACAGTTAAGAATACAGAAACCAATAAATAGATGGTGTCATTTCTGAGGAGGTGATAAGTGCTGGGGGGGTAATTTGGCAAAGAGAGGGAGCTCAGTGTAGTTGAGATTTTAAATAGGGTTATTTGTGCAGGGTCATCCATTAAAAAGGTGATATTTGAACAATGGTCCGAAGAGGGCGAGGGAGTGAGCTGTTTTGAAATCTGGGGGAAGGGTATTCCACATACCAGGAATAGCCAGTGCAAAGGCCCTGAGGTAGGACTGCTGGGTGTGGTTGCAGACCAGCAACTAGCAATGATTGAGGGGGAGGTGAGGCCAAAGAGATAATAGGGGTTAATAGGGTAAGACCTAGTGGACCACCCTTGAGGACTGGGACATTTATTTGGGGTGATAAGGGAGATGTATACTCTCAAGTAGAGGAGAAATGAGACCTGGCTTATAAAAATCTGGATGGGACCCATAGGGTCCTAACCTGATTGAAACTTTCCAGCAGCCCTCAGGACAGCTGGTATGCTTTGAGATCCATGCCCCCCCCACAACCCTACCCAGTGGTTGGGTCTGGGCAAGACTCCCCTCTCCATGCACCCCTCACTCAGGTAGACCAGTGGGGTAGTCCACTTAGTCACCATGACGATGGTTGTTAGGGAAGGTAGGAGCGTCCTTGTGGTTGTGGGGAGCATTCTGCCCTGGCAGTTGGGGGTGATGTGGGGCTGGTGCCGGCGAAACATGCCATTCTATGGGCGTGCCCAGGGCCGTATTGGTGGCCCTTCAGTCCTGGGCGAGCCTCTCACCCCATCCACAGCTGGGTCCATCATTGCCGCTGCACCTGAGAAGGCCTGCTGTGGAGGCCTCTGCTCCCACAGTGAGGCTGCCCCCATAGAGGCCAACACTTCACCGGTTGGGCCCTTACCCTCAGCCAGCCACCCAAGCCTCAATACCCAGGTGTGCTACTTAGGAGCAGGGTCCCCAGGGGCTGGTGGGAGGTACTGACAAGGGTCCCCATCTATGGCAGGTTTCTAGGATTCCCGAGCAGTTCCAGGGCTCAACAGTGGTTGGTTGGGTGGGCACTGATACAAATCCATGTCAGTGTGCCTCACTAAGTTGTCTTGGGTTTTAAGGGTACCCTTTAGTAATGGGTACTAACGTGGGACCCATTCCCATCTCTATCCCCTGCTCAGGTCGCCATGGATCGGATGAAGAAGATCAAGCGGCAGCTGTCGATGACACTCCGAGGGGGCCGAAGTACGGACAAGACCAATGGTGCCCCTGAACAGATAGGCCTGGATGAGAGTGGGGGTGGCGGTGGCACTGACCTTGGAGAGGTACCCACTCGTGCTGCTCCTGGGGAACCTCGCTCTGGACGGGGCCCACTCAGCTCTGCACCAGGTAGGTCCACTGACCACTCCTGCCCCTGAGTCTGGCCCCCAGGTGCTGCCTCCCAGCCGAGCTCCCCCTTAGACTTGTGCTATTTCCGTTTTCCTTTCTCCATTTTTTCTCCTTTCCCTGCCATCTTCTCCACACTCTCTCTCCGTCCATCTGTGTCCCTTTCCTTGGCTTTGTGCCCAGGCCTCAGGGGGAGAAAGAGTGCCCTGCCTGCTGCAGCTGCCCCAACCTTCCCTTTGCCCTTCTCCTGCACTCTGCACCCCCTTAGGCCTATTGGTGCCTGCCTTCCCAGGGCCTTTGGCTACTCTGCCACTGCCTGCCTCCTGGCCCTGGGCCAGCACCAGTCTCAGCTCACCCCTGGAATGGGGTGCTCCACTAGGTGACTATTGTCCCTCCACCCCTATCCAACCAGTCTCGACCTGTCTGAATTTCCCTGGGCCTTGCCTCCCTCTCCCTGAGGGACTCCAGGCTGCTCTGGGGGCTTGTGTGTACATGTGTGATGAGGGAATGTGTTCTGCTGGGGAGGGGGGTTCCTGGGGCTCCAGACCTCAACTGGTCTGCCCTCCTCCCCCTGTCCTCACTACCAGAGATTGTACATGAGGACTTGAAGATGGGGTCTGATGGGGAAAGTGACCAGGCTTCAGCCACGTCCTCGGATGAGGTGCAGTCGCCAGTGAGGGTGCGCATGCGCAACCATCCCCCACGCAAGATCTCCACTGAGGTGCTTAACCCCCTATCTGGCTGGTGGTGGGGCTAGAAAAGAGGGTTCAACCTGGGGAGGTGGAGCTCATGGCCCTGTTTCTCACCTGTCTTGCCTGCTAGGACATCAACAAGCGCCTGTCACTACCAGCCGACATCCGGCTGCCTGAGGGCTACCTTGAGAAGCTGACCCTCAATAGCCCCATCTTCGACAAGCCCCTCAGCCGCCGCCTCCGCCGCGTCAGCCTAGTGAGCATCTCCTGTTCTGGTCCTCTTCCCCCCCACCACGGCTTCTCCCCCACCTCCACCCCACTTCTCTCCCCAGCCAGTCCCCTCCTGTGAGCCTGCTTCAGCCTACCCCTTTACCCCACAGTCTGAGATTGGCTTTGGGAAACTGGAGACCTACATCAAGCTGGACAAGCTGGGCGAGGTGAGAGAGAGTCACAGGGCCTGTGGTGGGGATAGGGGTCTGTGAGAACTTCCTGCAGCCTCAAGCTCCTCTCCTATCACTCTTCCCCACACCCTAGGGTACCTATGCCACCGTCTACAAAGGCAAAAGCAAGCTCACAGACAACCTTGTAGCACTCAAGGAGATCAGACTGGAACATGAAGAGGGGGCACCCTGCACCGCCATCCGGGAAGGTACAGACACCCAAGAAGGCTGTCCCAGGCTTCCCGGGCTCTCCCCATGGCACATTAACATGCGCGTGTGTGCGCACACATACACACATGCCCCATAGTGAGAACAGAGACTGGGGCTTTGGGGACTTCCCTTCTGACACTCCGGGCTTCAGGAGAAAGTGCCCATCATGCAAATATTTAGATAATAATCAAGATAACCAGGAATCTGTTCCTGTTTGGAGAAGAGGCCAAGGAATTAGAGAGCAGGGTACTTGCCTTGGTTCTGAGAGCACCCGTGAAGATGCTCAACAATTTCCTTGACACAACAATTTCTAGTCATAATATCACATGGAATGAACCTGAATTGCATAGGTATTATGTGTGCAAACTCAGTTTCACACAAAGCTGCAGGCCTCTGTACTGAGGGAAGTCAGTACAGAAATAAAAAACAAGTTGTGAAAATCTAATGTCACATAAAACTGGGGCTGCAGTCCCAGGTTCTTGCTCCACACTCTTCTCTGAGCCTTAGTTTCCACATCTGCAACATAAGGAAACACCTTCTTGGTATTAGGTGGGAAAGAGCCAATGGCTCTCCATCAGCCCAGAGTGCTCAGGGAAACAAGGAAACCCTGGACTCATCCCTGTCTGGTCCTTGCTTTCACTTCTATCCTGAGGGTGAGGTCCTGACTCTTCCCCATCTCACCCTCATACTTCCTGCAGTGTCCCTGCTCAAGGACCTCAAACACGCCAACATCGTCACACTACATGACATCATCCACACGGAGAAGTCCCTCACCCTTGTCTTTGAGTACCTGGTAAGTTTGGGTGGCAGTGGGTCCTGGGGGGAAGATGAGGAGATGGCCACTATCTCCTCTTCTTTCCACTATCTCCTCTTCTCTCCTCAGGACAAGGACCTGAAGCAGTACCTGGATGACTGTGGGAACGTCATCAACATGCACAACGTGAAAGTGGGTGTGGGGCAGGAAGCAGGGGCACATGGGGGCCCCCACTCACCCACTCCACCCCACAAAATCCCAGAAACAGACTTTTCCTGTTTGGCTTTTTTTTGCTGGGAGCCCTTGGAGGGCATTGGGACCCTGTCCTCTTTTGTGAGATAAGGCTCTGAGCTCAGTGTCTGTGTTTGGGAGGGGGAACAGTATCTGCTGGGGGTCAGGCTACTGGATACCCTTTGACCTCTCCCTGCCCTTCCTGGGTCCTAGCTGTTCCTGTTCCAGCTGCTCCGTGGCCTGGCCTACTGCCACCGGCAGAAGGTGCTACACCGAGACCTCAAGCCCCAAAACCTGCTTATCAATGAGAGAGGAGAGCTGAAGCTGGCGGATTTCGGTACCCTGGCCTCCCCCTTCCTCCCAGTGATCCCCCAGCCTTACCCTCTTATTTTCCCCCTTCCTCATGACTACCTCATCTCAGTTCCTTTCAGCTTTTCTGAGCTTTGCTTCAGACGCCCTTAGTCCCCAGCTCTACTGTCCCCCAGACTGCCTGGGACCTCCTCAATTCCAGCTGCCCCTTCTCTCAACCCTTCAGGCCTGGCCCGAGCTAAGTCAATTCCAACGAAGACCTACTCCAACGAGGTGGTGACACTGTGGTACCGGCCTCCCGACATCCTGCTTGGCTCCACAGACTACTCTACCCAGATTGACATGTGGTAAGGACATGTGGAAGTGTGGCAGGAGCCAGTGTGCTGAAGGGGGTGGCTCGTCACGGCAGCCAACCAGCTGACCGCCTCCCCTGTTCGCTGTGTTCTCCCTGCTTAGGGGTGTGGGCTGCATCTTCTATGAGATGGCCACGGGCCGGCCCCTCTTCCCAGGCTCCACAGTGGAGGAACAGCTGCACTTCATCTTCCGCATCTTGGGTGAGGATGGTTGAGCCCACTAGGAGCCATGGAGACATTTAGAGGTGCCCTGTGAACACTTAGAGTAATTTTTCTTCCCTGCCAGGAACCCCAACTGAAGAGACGTGGCCAGGCATTCTGTCCAACGAAGAGTTCAAGACATACAACTACCCCAAGTATCGAGCCGAGGCCCTTTTGAGCCATGCACCCCGGTGAGGCTCATGGCAGGGGGTGGGGGGGTGTTAAGGGCCAGAATGCCCAAACTCAATTTAAAGCAGGTCCTCTTGTCCTTGCGGTAGACTTGACAGTGATGGGGCTGACCTCCTTACCAAGCTGCTGCAGGTAAGCCCACCCTCCTGGGCCAGCCTTGGGGGTTAGGGGATCCTAGGTGTGGGGAGACAGGGAGCTCCAGGGGTAGGGTCTGGGGTGGGGAGGAAGAGAGGCCTACTTGTTGAAGGTGTCAGTACACCACCAGTGCTGCCACCGCCCCTGCCCCTATCCCTCTTTCCCCTACTCAGTTTGAAGGTCGCAATCGGATCTCCGCGGAGGATGCCATGAAACATCCATTCTTCCTCAGTCTGGGGGAGCGGATCCACAAACTTCCTGACAGTGAGTGGAACTGGTAGGGGGGTGTGGGGAACAAGACATGGGGCAGATTGTGCAGGGCTCTGGCTAGGTCATCTCTGAGGAGGCACACCCTTGTTCACAAGTGTGATGTGTCTATTACAAAAACTATTTTACTTTTAGTTACTTTTTACCTTTCATGGAAATTTTTAAACCTACATGAAAATAGATGCAACATCACTTTCCCTTTTTTTTGTAAATATTTTTTTTAATAAAATACATATTGAGGGATCCCTGGGTGGCTCAGCAGTTTAGCGCCTGCCTTTGGCCCAGGGCATGATCTTGGAGTCCCGGGATCAAGTCCCACATCGGGCTCCCTGCAAGGAGCCTGCTTCTCCCTCTGCCTGTGTCTCTGCCTCTCTTTCTCTGTCTCTCATGAATTTATTTCTCTAAATAAAATCTTTAAAATAATACGTATTGAGAAATGCACAGGTCATAAGTATACACAGCACAATGAATTTTCACAAACTAAACACACCCATGTAACTGGCATACAGGTCAAGAAATAGGATGTGAGGGTACCTGAGTGGCTCAGTTGGTTAAGATCTGCCTTCAGCTCAGGTCATGATCCCAGGGTCCTGGGATCAAGTCCCATATTGAGCTCCCTGCTCAATGGGGAGTCTGCTCCTCCCTCTCCCTCTGCCCCTCCTTCAGCAGAGACATAGGCAGAGGGAGAAACAGGCTTCATGTAAGGAGCCCGATGTGGGACTCGATCCCAGGACCCCGGGATCACAACCTGAGCCAAAGGCAGATGCTCAACCACTGAGTCACCCAGGTATCCCCACTAGTTGGATTTCTAACAGCATAGATAAGTTTTCCCCATCCTTGTACTCTACAGAAATGGAATCACACAGGGTATTCTCTTTTTATACTTGATTTTAAAAAAAAGATGTATTTATTTATTTTAGAGAGGACAAGAGTGAGCAAGCAAGTGGGGGGAAGAGGGAGAGAAATCCTCAAGTGAACTCCCAGCTAAGCATGGAGCCCAACTGGGTCTTGATCCTAGGATCCTGAGATCGTGACCTGAGCCGAAACCAAGAGTTGGACACTTAACTGACTGAGCCACCAGGCACCCTAAAGATTTATTTATTTTAGAGGGAGAAAGAGAGAGTAGGCAGTGGGGAGGGACATAAATATAAGGAAAGAATCTTAAACAGTCTCCATGCTGAGCACACAGCCCAACACAGGGCTCAATTTCAGGACCCTGAGATCAGGACCTGAACCAAAACCAAGAGTCTGATGTTAAACTGACTGTGCTACCCAAGTGCCCCTTCATGCCTGATTTTTAAAAACTTCTTAATATGGACACTTTAAAATTATATATATTTAGGGGTGCTTGGCTGATTCAGTCAGTGGAGCTAGGACTCTTGATCTTGGGGTTGTAAGTTTGAGTCTCATGTTGGGTGAAGAGATTACTTGAAAAAAATTAAATAGGGGTCCTTGGGTGGCTCAGTTGGTTAAGCGTCCAGCTCTTGGTTTTGGCTCAGGTCGTGATCTCAGGGTTGTGAGCACCACATCACTCTCTATGCTCTGCATGGAATCTGCTTGTCCTTCTGCCTCCCTCCCTCCCTCTCTGCCCCTCTTCACACTTCTCTTTCTCTTGCTTACTCGCTTTCTCTCAAAATCTTATTTTAGAAAATAAATGATACTTATTTATATATTAGATGAAATACTGTGAGTCCCCAAGTACTCTAACATCTCATCAACTTGTGGCCAATCTAGTTTTATCTATATTCCCTCTGATTATTTTGAATCAGATCCCAGATATATCATTCATCTATAAATTTAGCATGTATCTCAAACATTTAATAACTATTGGTATTATAGCTTTAAAAAATTGGCCCACTTCCTGTATCTCCCCGGTGGTTTAATCTAAATCAAATCCCAGTGTTCATCACCTGGACTCAACAGATGGTAATTGCAACACTATGATCACACTTGACAGAATTACTGATTTCCTAGTGTCCTGTAATAATCCATATTCCATATTCCCTAGTTGTAGCTGGTTTGTGTGTAAGGATTATTTGACAGGTGAAAGCCATGCCTCTCAAAGAAAAGGCAATTTTTGGTAATTCCAATAGGGCCATGTGGGCAGTGATCCTGGATGGGCCTATGGGTCATTTTCCACTGTCTGTCTTCCACCCACAGCTACTTCCATATTTGCACTAAAGGAGATCCAGCTACAAAAGGAGGCCAGCCTTCGGTCTTCGTCAATGCCTGACTCGGGTAGGTGTGGCCCTCACCCTCTTTCCCTGCCCCAGCCACCTACTTGCTTACCTACCAACAGCCATCCGCTCTGCTTTCCCCTGCAGGCAGGCCAGCTTTCCGCGTGGTGGACACCGAGTTCTAAGCTGAGTTCTAAGCCACAAACCGAGGCCCCAGCAGGCAGCAGCAGCTGGAGGGATGCCACTCCCCTCACAGGGCAGCCCCCAACTGCATCCTTCTTGCTTGCTGCCTGCCTACCTGCCTGACTCATGCTCGCCTGCCCACATGTTCCCTGCTGCCTGTCCAAACACCCGACCATTGGCCTGTCAGCCCACCCATTGGCCTGTCTGCTGGGTGCTAACAAAGCTCTCATCGCTCCTTCGCCTGGTTTGTCTGTCTGTCTGTCTGTCTCTGTCTCAGTAGTTGCCGGCGGACAGCATGGTTGTGCCAGCCTCCCACACTGAGGCCAGGCCTACCCCTCTTCCCCATCATATCCTCCCCCAGGACCACTGACCGCTACCCGACGGCCAGCCAGGGGTCCGGAGCTAGTCCAGGCTGGGGATCTCGGCTCAGACAGGATCTGGCAATGCCTTGGGTCTGAGGCTTCCCTTGCCTGCTTTCCTGCCTGCCCCACTTGCCTCATGTTGTGTGGGCTTTTTTTTGTTGTTGTTGTTGTTTGTTTCACTCATTGTCGTTTTTTAATTATTTTAAATGAGGTTTTCATTTTTTAAATGCAATATCTCTGTATACAGACTGGCTGGGCCCCACCCCCTGCGTGTGGCCCTCCCACAGTATTTTGTGCAATGAAGCCCTGCTCTCAGCCTTTCCAAGGCAGGGACACAGCCCCTATTTGGAACCCTGACCATCACTAGACCCTGGGGTTGGCTAAGGGAAAGCATGCCTCGACCATTTGCCTTCCTACCCCACCCCACCCCCACCCGCCATCCCCAGCAGCAGGGGGACCTGGGGACTACGGGAGACTCTCTGGGAGGTGGATGAGGTGGGGGGCCCCCCACTCTTTCCCTCCTGCAGTCCCACAGCTGGGGCCTCCTTCCTTCTCAGGGTCTCCTTAGCCCAACCCTCCTGCCCCTGTCCCACTCGGTGCTGTTGAGTAGGGGCCCTGCCAGGAACTGACCAACTCTTCAAGGAGCCATAGTGTGTATATGTGCACAAGCAGGGGCAGAGGGGTGCTGGGGGTCTGTGCCCAGGCATTATCCCCTAACCCCTGGGGAGGGTGAGGCAGGGCAGGGACAGTCTCTGGGGTCAGTCCCAGATGGGTGGTTACCTCCCCATCCTCCACTCTAAACCTGGGGCCCTCAAATGGGGTGGGAGGGTTGGGGTGGGGGCCCTCCTAGTGGGGTTTGGGGGGTTGGGTTCCTGAATGCACCATAATCGCTGTATGAAATATTAAAAAGTCTAAAGTGAAAAACCTGATTGCAAGTCCCTGCAGGGGTGGGGGTGGGCTCAGTCCAAGGTGAGTTCTGGGACCTTGGAGAATTCATACCTGGCCCCCGACATCTAGGAGAGCACTGAGATGGGCCAGGGACATGGCATGACTGAAAGCCATCTGAGGGGTTGCACACACAATAGTGGAACATTTTTGTTGAAGCAGGTAGGGCAGGCTGAAAAGAGGATGAGCTAAGAATCAAGAAGAGTGAGATTTACCCAAGAATATGAGAATGCCAGATAGGGCGGGGACAGGTGTATGTAGAGGGACTGTGAGAGACACTTGGAAGACTCCGTTAAACCAAGAGGTGAGGCAGGGAGGACCAGTATGACCACACATCAGAACTGGACACCATGAGGCAGGCCAGGTGGAGAGAGAGTATGAGAGGAGGGATAGATTTTTGGATCACTGAGTAGGTAGGGGAATCATAATGGATCAAATTCAGGAATGGAGCCACCGATGGATGGAACTGGAAGTTTGGATTTTTGGTGTCCAGGGAGTAACAGAAATCCTGAGAAGGATGCAGTGGTTTGTGAGAGTCCAAATAGCACAGCCTAGAACTTGGACTCAAGTGTGAGGATAATGGGGGCTTTGGTTACCTTTGTCCTGGGAGTTCTGGCCTCTGTCCCAACATCTGGGCAAAGCCAAGGACAGCTTTTCAAACAGAAGAGGTGGGGGTGGGCAGGGCCAGGCAAATACTGCAGGTAATAAGCCTAAGGCTGGTTACTGTAGTCCCGGGGTGGCGGCCCAAGAACTTCTAATCATTCCACTGTGCCGCTGTAAGCATTTTGGTGATCTCTCGGCTTGTAGCCTTATGGTTACATGACACCTGCCATGTTCTCAGAGATGGGGAAGCAAGCGAGGAAAACCGGACACCCTATTTCCTTGTAATAGGGCTGAACCTTCTACAAACTTCTTAGCAGACTTCTCGAGCCATTCTATGGCTCGCATAAGATGATATGGCCACCTCTGGCAGCAAGGGATGCTGGGAAAATGAAGACCCTGCAAAGGGAGACAGGATTGCCAAACCAAACTTAGAAGGGCTGGAATTTACACAACTGCTCTGGCAAGTGGTAGGGTCATTGCTGTGTGCAGAGGTTGGCCTTTGGAAGGTGAGGAAACCAAACAGTCTAGGCCTGGGAAGGGAGGCCTCTTGAATTGTAGGAAGGACAGGCTATCCAATAAATGGGGAGGGAGAGTCTGCAGAGGGGCAATGAGGAAAGGCAATTCAGAGGACCTGACCAGATTAAGCTGGGCTTCAAAAGCAGCTACTTGCCATGTGCCAGACCAAATTCAATGCCATTATAGAGAACCCTGGATGAAAGGGCTGTTCTCTTTCCATCCCCAGAATTTACACAACTGAGTTGTAACCCCTCGGCTGTTCAGGTCTGGGCCAGGGGCTGGAATCACAGTAATAAAGACAATCCCTGCCCTGTAGAGGTTAACTGAAAAGAGTAAATTATATCTGGTGGATGGGTGGGATTTGAAATTGTTCAGGGAGAGGTGAGGGTATTCTGGACACTCCAAGCCCAGGGAGCTGTGTGCACCAGCCTAGAGGTATAGGAAGGCAAGCTGTGTGGTCTTGCTTGTGGGAATGGGTGGTGATAAGTCACTGAACCAGAGCCAGAATCATGAGCCCATCTTGGGGGAGAGTATGTGGGACGGTCAGGTGGGGCAGCCAACACAGGTAGATAAAGAGAGCCAGAGAGTGAAATGCTAAAGTTATCAACAAGAGGAAGGGCTAGAAGCCTCAGCAGAAAAGGATGACAGAGCCTAGTGCAGTGGTTCTCAACCAGAGATCTCCACCCCCAGGGAACACTGGCAAAGTCTAGAGACACTTTTGGTGATGAGAAAATTAGGGGATGATACTGCTATCCAGTGGGTAAATGGCAGGGATGCAACTAAATATCCTACAATGCTTCCCACAACAGAAATGTCAATAGATCTTGATTGAGAACTCCTGACCTGGGGCAATGGTTCTAAACTTTTTGGTCATGATCCCTTTAATAGTCTTAAAAATTGAGGACATCTAAAGAGCTTTTGCTTATATAGCCTCTCAGAATATTCCATCACACATGCAAGACAGCTTGACAATGCAAAAGTATTGTGAAAATAGTTTTGACTTTGTGAACCCTCCTGAGAAGGTCTCCTGAACCAGTAGGAAGCCTAAAATCACAGTTTGGCCTTGTGCTTAAGGTCACAGCTCTGAGTTCGAACCACAGCTCGGTGTTTTTTACTAGCTGGGGCAAAATGAATGAGTGTTTCTGGTCCTCACTTTGCCCCTTTGATGTCCGTAGGGGACGGTGATGTTTATCTGTTGCCTAAGGCTACCTTTTACGTGCAATAAAGCATTTAAACAGGGCCAACTATTATTAGTTATCATTGCTATAACGCCAACAAATACACTGGGCCTGAGGCTGACTTGCCTTCAACACGTTTGTCAGGAAAATAAATCTAGTTCAGGCAGGGAAGCAGCCCGTAGGCTTGGGTGGTGACCTTTTTTGTATTAGGTTCTGATGGACAAGAGCAGCGCAGTGAATAGGTAGGGCATTCTGGTCAGGCTAACAAAAACTCTCAGGGTAGGGGCCGTGGTCCCCAGCAAAGCATGGGACCGAGAAAGCGCGGAACCTTCGTGTCCCTGAGCACTCCCCAAAATGTCCTCGTCATAGCGGGACCTCACCCTCCACCTTTCCACACCACCTTTTGCCCTGACTCAACATGGCTTTAAAATCCTACAAGGCACCTTTGTCTTCCTTAGTCCCTAACTGGAGGTTTTGCCCCGCCCATTGGCCGCAGAGATCACCGCCCACAGTCCCACGCCCGCCTAGCCGGTCCACGCGTGCGAGCGTGGGGTCCCTTTCCAAGATGGCAGTAGCCCCCTGGCTGTTTGGGGGGCTCTGTTTCCGTTTCCGGGACCAGAATCCGGAAGTGGCCGTTGAGGGGCCTCTTCCTATCTCCAGCTGCGGTGGTTGTGAGAGGAGGGCGAACGGTGATGGCGGCGGTCGCAGCGAATGTGGCGGCTGCGGCTGAAGACCGAGAGCCGCAGCGCGAAGCGGTGCCGGGCCTGGAGAGCCAGTGGCGCCAAATCGAAAACAGCGAGAGTGGGCGAGAGCGTCCACTGCGTGCGGGCGAAAGCTGGTGAGACAGGGCTGCGAACGGAGCCTCGGCTGGGGGAACGTGGAAGCTGAGGTCCGAAGAATTGCTGTGGGGGCGGGGGAGTGGCCTGTGAGACTGAGGACGGGAGGGGCGGGGAAGTGCCTGTGAGTGGATCGCCTTGTCTGGGGAAAAAGGCGGGGCCTGTATGGTGGCGCCCCAGGCCTGAGAACTGGAGGTTTGTTTTGGAGAGGCGAGGGGGTGGGGCCGGGAGTGCGTGATGGAACTCGCAACCTAGGCCGAGGGGCGTGGTCTGCGTGGCGTTAAGTAGCATCTGGCGGCGCGGCGGCCTGCGGTTTCTCCGCGCCTGAGAGCTAGGCGGGGATGACGTCAGGCAGAAGAGCGGAATCCGAGCCGTAGGGCTGTGGGCGGAGGGAAGGAGTCGGAGCCTGCGTGGTGGAGGGAGCTGGCGCCTGGGAACGAGGCTTGTGACGGACGCTGAGGGGCGTGTCCTGAGGCCAAGGAAAGACTGCAGAGGGGAGGTAGTGCCTGTGAAGCAGAAAATGGCGCCTGCGAATGAGCAAAGTTTGTGACGCGGCGAGGTTTTTGCCTCTGGCCGAGGCCTTCTTCCCAGGACGGGAGAAAGTGCAGGTGATTGGCACGGGAGGGGCCTTCGCTATTACATTTGTTTTGTGTTTTAGTACTGCTTCGTTTTTATAATCAGGAGGAATAGTTATTTTTTAAAATGTCAATGCGTGTCTTGATAAATCGGCTTGTTTTACTGATTTCTTGGCTAACCAGTGCTTGAAATACAGTTTCTGGATTTATTTTATTTCTCGCCAAGTTGCATCTCATTTTTTAAATTGTGATATACGTAAGACCTAAAAAGATTGCATAAAACGTTTACGTAGCCCAGATTGATGGACATTCTGTAAAAATAAACGGCCTGTGCTTTTCAAAAATTTCAAGGTCGTGAAAGACAAAGGATGAAGAACTGTTCCAGATTGAAGGAATTAATGGGATTTAAAGAATCATAACTAAATGCAATGTGTGATCCTGCATTGGATCCCGGAGCAGAAAAATAAATTATTTAAAAATCAGGATTTTTCTCATAAGATTGATTTCTCTTTTTTTATTGTAAAAGATGTTAATGGGAAAATTGATGAAATTTGACTGAGGCTTGTAGATTAGATATTAGTAGTGATAATTTCTTGCTTTGGATAATTGTGGTTATGAAAGAGAATTTTTTTAAGGGAATACATGCTGAAATTTTTCGGATAAAGAACCATCGTGTAAGCCGCTTACTCGCAAATGGTTGGAAAAAAATAGCGTATGTAAAGATGTATTTAAAGAAACGATGAGGCAAATGGCTAAAATGTTAAATTTGGGAAATGTGGATGAAGGGTATACGGGAATTCTTTATATTATCTTTGCAATTTTTTCTGAGTCTATTTCAAAGTAAAAAAAAGAATAATAAAAATTTGTGAATTCACCATTCAGGTTAAGATATCAGACCGTTAGCTTAAGAAGTCTCCTCCCAGATGGAAATCCCTCTCCCTGCACCACTATTATTCTGAATTTTTCAATTTGTTAACGTTTTTCCACTTCTGTATGCATCCCTAAATAGTATTTGTGGTCTAAGCTTTCATTTCATGGAGGATATATGTGAAATCCTACTAGAGGCGTACCGTGTGCCCTTTGCATCATATCAGATGGTATACGGTATCCACATTACGTCATTGGTGACGTTAACCTTGATCATTTGGTGAAGATGGTATCTGCCCTGTTTCTCCACTATAAAGGTAGTATTTTTCTCTTTCCGTATGCGGTAATTCTTTTAAAAACATATTATAGCCATCCATTCCTCAAAACGTTTTAACAGCGTCCCATCGTGCAGTGTAAATGCTAAAATTCTTACAAGGACTAGAAAGTCTGGTCCCCCTGCTCTGATTACCACTGCCCACCCCCCCAACTCTCTCCATCCAGCCATATTGGACTCCTGTTCCTCAGACACCGCAGGCATGCTCTCACCTAAGGGCTGTTCTGAGTGAGGTTTGCTTATTTTAGAGTTCTCTAATCACAATATGTGTATCCCTGTTACTGGAGAGTTCAGAAACAAATTGAAATTCCCCAAATAGAGAATACGAAATCTTTTTTTTTTTCTTTTTTAACTGTTGTGCTGTAGCTCTCGGGCAAGGAAAAGCCTCATTCCACCCTGCTGAGAATAAACAATAACTGGATCATCTTTTATAGTTCATTTGGATGTGTTCAAACAGGGTTGGGGGCTTTGGTTCCTGATGCATCATGCCTTTACAGCCTCCTTGTGACAGTACCCTTTAGTTACCCCACCCGTATGGATTTCCTTTTTTGGGTGTTGAAAATGTTTTGGAACTAGATAGAGGTCATGGTTGCACAACATTGTGAATGTACTAAATGCCACCAAACTGTTCACTTGAAAATGGCTAATTTTATGTGAAATTTTTAAAATTATGTTCTGTCAAATGAGTGAAAATATCAGTGAGGATGACAAAACATGAGAAACACCTAACTCTGGGAAATGAACAAGGGGTAGTGGAAGGGGAAGTGGGCGGGGGGGGGTTGGGGTGACTGGGTGATGGGCACTGAGGGGGACACTTGGCGGGATGAGCACTGGGTGTTATGCTATATGTTGGCAAATTGAACTCCAATAAAATAAATAAATAAATAAATAAATAAATAAATAAATAAATAAATAAAATAAAATAAAATAAAATTATGTTCTGTCAATAAAAAAAATTACCCCACCAATGTTGGTTCAGTATTGACGCCAGTTTATCTCTGCTATTGTAGCTGATACCATGAAGCATTTTTCCATAGCTCCATTTTTTAAATGCTTATCTACCTAGGTGAGAGCAAAGCATTTCAAGGTTTTTTAATTTGCTGTTGATTTGATAGAGGTTTGCTGCAGTGGTCAGGAAATGTGTGTTTACAAAGTCACAGACTAATAATCCTCAAATCATATCTAATACCAATATTAATATTTTACACCTTCTTTTCGTCAGCTGGCAGATCTGGGCAAGGGGAAGTAATTTGGCTATCTGAACTGATTTAAATCTCTAGGAGAAGCTTATATTTTAAGAGTAAATTAATATCTGTGATAGTATAGCTTCCTTGGCAAATTCCAGTTTTTCTTTTTGAGGATGAACCATCTACAAACATAATTAAATCAGGGAGAGGAAAGGGAGTCTCTAGATGGTTTGTGCAGGGTGTGGGTAGTTTTCTAACAGGTAAGCAGCAGGCAAGAGATTCTTTGTTCGGATAAAAGAAGGAGTGTGGCTGGGTTCAGTGTTGCAGAGTGGATAGTGATGTGTGAAGGGAAAGTGACAGTGTTCCATTAGAGGTGAAGGACTAACCTTAGAAATGTTGAGGCTTTTCTATCAGTGGAGAAGTCTGTACAACATGGAGGACCATTTTAAGTGTAACGAAGATGCTAGAACTAAATCAGCAGTTTTCGCTTCTTTGGTGATTGCTGCGTAGCTCTTAAACAAGGTGGCTATGCCTTGATTTCTGGATATAATGAAAGACTGAAATAAACAAAGACTGGCAATTCCCTTGTCATTGAGTTCATCCCCCTAGTGCTTGTTCAGACTTTTCATGAACTGGGGAGAGAGAATTTATGAGTTTAGAGTCCTGGAGTGGGAAATCTTTTGGTAGACAGTAAATGTACCAGTCTTTGTTGCTTGAACAGGAGTATGCTTTTTAGCTTGAAAAATAGGCAATTATTGAAAGATGTTTGTGTATCTAATTATAATTAATATAATTAAGCTAGGAAGATAAATTTGCTTTTTGATTTGTCATTTTTAAAAAACATTAAGTTTGTTAAAGAGTACATTATGAACACTGAGTAACGTATATAGAATTATTGAATCACTATATTGTGCACCTGAAACTGAGTTAACTATACTAGAATTAAAATTAAAAACAATAAAATTGAAAGAAAATACTAAGTTTGGAAAATGAAAGAGCTTTTATAAAAGTTTTAAGTTCATTGAAATTTGGAGAATTTTAATTAAACTTAATTATGCCTATTGCCATTCCTTTTATAGGTCAAAGGAGCAAATCTTTGTGTTATCTCTCAGACATAGTTTAGCCATAAAGAACATTTTTTAAAAGATTTTATTTACTTATTCATGATAGACATAGAGAGAGAGGCAGAGACACAGGCAGAGGGAGAAGCAGGCTCCATGCCAGGAGCCCGACGCAGGACTCGATCCTGGAACTCCAGGATCGCGCTCTGGGCCAAAGGCAGGCGCCAAACCGCTGAGCCACCCAAGGATCCCCATAAGAGAACATTTTAACAGTATTATTATTCTGAATTTGGTAAAGACAAATCAAGAATAATCATTAGAAAAAAAAGATAGGGGATCCCTGGGTGGCTCAGCGGTTTGGCGCCTGCCTTTGGCCCAGAGCGCGATCCTGGAGTTCCAGGATCGAGTCCTGCGTCGGGCTCCTGGCATGGAGCCTGCTTCTCCCTCTGCCTGTGTCTCTGCCTCTCTCTCTCTCTCTCTCTCTCTCTCTGTCTATCAATGAATGAATGAATGAATGAATGAATAAATAAATAAATATTTTTTTAAAAAAAAGAAAAAAGATAAATTGAAGTAAGGACAGAAAATACTTACAGTCAACTTTGTAAAAACACAGTGATAAATAACAAAGGAAGAAGGAAAGAAGTAGGAAAATTTAAATTTGAAAGATACACCATTTATGATCGCATCTTCTCAAATCAAATACCTAGAGATAAATCTAACAGTGTGGGTGCTTCCCTCTCAGACAATGACAACTATGTCATGACTGCCATCTGGTCTGACAGATGATGAGACATCCCCATTTCAGAGGCATTTTTAAAGTGTTCTTGAAGCGAAGAAATCTGGTAGTCCTGTTCTGTGAAATTGCTATAAAACTTGAGTCTCCTGTGAAGACTCTAGAAATTCAGGTTGTAGCCAGGTATGGGGGTTTTGCTAAGGGCTGCAGAGTGATTTTTTTTTTTAAATTTTATTTATGATAGTCACACAGAGAGAGAGAGAGGGGCAGAGACACAGGCAGAGGGAGAAGCAGGCTCCATGCACCAGGAGCCCGACATGGGATTCGATCCTGGGTCTCCAGGATCGCGCCCTGGGCCAAAGGCAGGTGCCAAACCGCTACGCCACCCAGGGATCGCAGAGTGATTTTTTTTTTAATTGCAGTATAGTTGATGTGCAGTGTTACATTAGTTTCAGATGTATGCTAGGGAGTGATTTTAATGTTGGTTTTCCTTAAAAATCTGGCTTAGGGGATCCCTGGGTGGCGCAGCGGTTTGGCGCCTGCCTTTGGCCCAGGGCGCGATCCTGGAGACCCGGGATCGAGTCCCACATCGGGCTCCCGGTGCATGGAGCCTGCTTCTCCCTCTGCCTGTGTCTCTGCCTCTCTGTGTGTGTGTGTGTGACTATCATAAATAAATAAAAAATTTAAAAAAATCTGGCTTAAAAACAAAAAAAGTTGAGCAATGATGCCCTTTGCATTGAAAGTCCCGGTAACCATAATGGAGCTTTACTGAAGAAATTAACGTCATAGACGTCAGTGGAGGCAGTGAAAGCCACGAGGGTGAAGGATGGGTTTATGGGTATGAGTGGTGGAGGGGTAGGGTCAGTGATGGGGTATTCCAGAGAGTGATGGGAGATTGGGGCATGTGCCACTGGGATAAGGAGGATGTGTGTTCCTGGCATGAGTCATGTGCGGGGTCTGTGGGGCTCAGTGCAGTAAAAACAACAAAACCCCACCAAAATGTGTGCATGCGTGCCTGTCCAGGTTACTCGTGACTATTGCAAGGTTTTCTAGCCCTCCATCTCCCCCATCTCCCTCAGCCTTTTATGAATACAGGAAAGTTGTAATTTTAAAGAATCCCATTTAAAGGTTAAATTGCTAGCACACTAATCACTACAGTGTGAGAGTAGTATTTTAAAAGGTGTTTATTTGAGGTAGTTAACTATTTGGGACAGCCTCTTATGTATCAAAAATCCCATAGCAGAGCAGATTTCTAAGTGTGGGACCGGGTTTGTGTGTCTGTGTATGTGAGCTTTGAGTTCCAAACCCTGGGATTGAAACAGTAACTTGCTAAAATTTATTTAGCATTTTTACTCTGTCAAGTCTTTTCCAGACTTAAGAATTGCTCATGACATTTTATAGAGCCAGGCTTTAGCAGTCTTAAATGTTTATCCTAGGTATAGTGCATATAAAAGTTTCTCTTTTGGGTGCCTGGGTGGCTGGCTTAGCGGTTGAGCGTCTGCCTTCGGCTCAAGGCGTGATCCTGGAGTTCCGGGATGGAATCTCGGGATCAAGTCCTGCATCGGGCTCCCTGCATGGATCCTGCTTCTCCCTCTGCCTGTGTCTCTGCCTGTCTGTCTGTCTGTCTCTCTCTCTCATGAGTAAATAAATAAAACCTTTAAAATTTTTTTCTCTTTTAAAAGAGAACTGTCCAAGCTATACACTTAAAAATAGTTCAGATGCTAAAGTTTATGGCATGTGCTGCTTTTTGCCATAATAATAATAATAATAATAAGAAGAAGAAGAAGAAGAAGAAGAAGAAGAAGAATGAGCTAGTTACCATAAGCTCAGAGACCTATTATAAAGCCAAAATAAATTTTTTTAAAGATTTTATTTATTTATTCATGAGAGATACACAGAGAGAGGCAGAGACACAAGCAGAGGGAGAAGCAGGCTCCATGCAGGGAGCCCCATGTGGGACTCGATCCTGGGACCCCAGGATCATGCCCTGAGCCGAAGGCAGGCGCTAAACCACTGAGCTACCCAGGGATCCCCCAAAATAAACTTTTCAACACAAAAATGATGAAACATGGTGAGATGCAGTCTTTGAAGGAAAACCTTACGATTCTTTTAGCATTTTAAATTCCTCTCAGTTTCTGAGCAGGTTTCCAGAATTTAAATAATTAATTTCTAAAAAAAATTAATTTCTTATTCTCCATTTATATATTCTTTACAAAGACTGCACACTTAATGAATGGCTAAAGCTTTATTATAACATTAGGTGTAAATAACAGACAATTTTCAGCCTAATTCTTTGTTCTATAATAAAACCTCATATTTCCTGGCACCATGGGTGTGAGTTGGTGGTTTGTTTTGTTTTGTTTGGAGTTTTGCCAATTTTTGTTCTTAATCCAGTCTCTTAGTATCCTAAGAAATTTGGTAATCTATCCAAACCTGAGTTGCACTGAATATATTTTGCTTTCAATTATTTTCATACGATGGTGAAACTTTTTTTTCTTGTTGAATTCTGGGAGAGATTTCCCTTTTTTATTGAGTTATAATTGACATATGCCACAGTATTAGTTTTAGGTGTACGTGAAATTTAACATCTTGACTTGCAGCATGTTGATTCTTTTAGTCTAATAACCATGGGAAGTGGTGCCACTAACTCCAGGTAGCCATGTGATACCCTTGTTACCTGTCTGGTCCAGGTTCCTCGTGGAACAGCACTGGTACAAACGGTGGGAAGTGTACGTGCAGGGAGGAGACCAGGACTCCGGCACATTCCCTGGCTGCATCAATAATGCTGACCTCTTTGAAGGTACCTGGCCTCTCCCTACCTAGCCCAGCCCCAGAGTTCTTGTCCCCTCTGTCCCTACAACAAATGATCATAAGCCTCTTCACTGAGCTAGATCATTGATGAGATGGCCAGAGTGACTTACCACTTTCTTACCCTGATTCTTCCTCTGCCCCCGACAGACCAGGTAAACTGGCACCTCAAGAAGGGTCTAGTGGAAGGTGAGGACTATGTGCTGCTCCCAGCGGCTGCTTGGCATTACCTGGTCGACTGGTATGGTCTAGAGCATGGCCAGCCACCCATTGAACGCAAGGTATAGCAAATGAGGGAGGGTGCTCGGGTTAGATTCTTGAGGAATGGAGTAGGAGAAAGGCCCTGTAGGCCCAGGGTGGGTCTAGACCTGTGTGTACACGGGTCTCCATTATGCTGTGTAGATATACCTTGTCTGCACTCCTCTCCCCTCAAGTATCTCAGTGTTTCTCAAGTGTGTGTTTGTCTATATGCGTGCTCCTCTGATCTCAGAGGTTGTCGTGCTTGTGCCTGTGTATATGTGCCATGTGGGTACACCTGTGTATGCACCTCCCACCTTCCAGGTTGTGGAGCTGCCCAGCGTCCAGAAGGTGGAAGTGTACCCAGTAGAACTGCTGCTTGTCCGGCACAGTGATATGGACACACCTCACACTGCTCAATTCAGCCATACAGATTCTGTTGGTGAGTCTGAGGGTCACAGAGTGAGTTGGCGTTCCCATAGCTCAATGATCTCAATGATCTAGGAATGCCTGGGTTTTGGCTATGGCCAACTGAGAAGGCATTGGTCAGACTTCGGAGGACCAAGAAGGTATTGGTTAAGTTGGGCAGAGGCCCTGGTTGGAGGGGGTGCCTTATGGTCCTGAGGGTATGTGAGTTGCAGCCTGGTGGCTTAAATGGTGTGGCAGAGAATATTTACTGGGGGTCTCAAGTCCTGAGCATGCACCGGTAATTTTGCTCAAGGACACAGGTATTGACTCAAGTGAGCAAGGTATGTGAGGATGCATCAGGGTCTGATGCAGAGATGGGTCGATCATTCAGGGTCCCAGGAAGACCTTGAATGTGCTCTGCCACCTTCCACAGACCTCGTTTTGCGCACCGCCCGAGAGCACTTCCTGGTGAGCCCTCAGGAAGAGACACGGCTGTGGATCAAGAACGCAGAGGGCTCTTTCGAGAGGTTGTGCAACACACGTGTCACAGTGCTTGACGCTGCCCTCAAGACAGGGCAGGTGAGGGTGGGGAGGGCTCTCCTGCTCCCCGGCAGTGCTCAGGTTGGTGGAAGTGAGGGTAAGGTTCCCATAGGCCCTCCCTGAGTGCCTTCCTGCTTTTCTTTCTCTTCCTCAACTCAGGTGGTCATTATGGAGACCCGAAACAAGGATGGCACTTGGCCCAGTGCCCAGCCACAGGCCGTGTAAGCACATGCAGTATCCGGCCCAGAGTGGGGTCCCCCAGTAGGCAGGATGACAGTGCTCATGAGCCCATCACACCTGCATGTAATTGGCCTTCAGCTGATGAGAGTTCCCCTCCACCCTAGGAACACTGCATTGGAGGAGGAGGAGAAATTCCAGGGCCAGCCAGGCATCTGCGGTCTCACCAACCTGGGCAACACGTGCTTCATGAACTCAGCCCTGCAGGTTGGGCGAGTAGAGCTGTGTCTGGCACAGCCACAGGGGTGGGCTCCAAGTGATGAGGATTGCGGGGGGCAGGGGATTGCAGGGCAAGGGGTCAGGTTGGAGGCTGGGGCCCCACAGGTCAGACTTGACTTAGCCATAGTACTCCCAGAAACACCAGTACCCTCTCCCTCTGATTGCCCCTTCTTTCCTGGTTTCTTCTCTCCTTTGTCACCACATTCTTCCTTCTCTCCCCCACCTCCCTGCCTCCCCCTTCCTCTTTGCTTCCTTATTTCGGTCTCTACCTTATTCATCGCCTTCTCTGCCTCATTTTCCTGGGCCCTGCCTCCTGCAGTGCCTCAGCAATGTGCCACAGCTCACCGAGTACTTCCTCAAAAACCGCTACCTGGAAGAGCTCAACTTCTGCAACCCACTGGGCATGAAGGGTGAGATCGCAGAGGCCTACGCAGACCTGGTGAAGCAGGCCTGGTCCGGCCACCACCGGTCCATTGTGCCTCATGTGTTCAAGGTGTGACTCAGCCCTGGGCTGCCCCTGCCCCTCCTCCACCCCCCACCTCCACCCTGCCCCAGCTGACGCTGTCTCGCTCTGACCACCCTACCCATCTTCTCAGACCAAGGTTGGCCACTTTGCATCCCAGTTTCTGGGCTACCAGCAGCATGACTCACAGGAGCTGCTGTCGTTCCTCCTGGATGGGCTACATGAGGACCTCAATCGTGTCAAGAAGAAGGAATATGTGGAGTTGTGTGATGCTGCTGGACGGCCAGATCAGGTAGGCACTCCTCAGAGACCCCATCCTGAGAGCTCCATTAAAACCACCCGGGATTTTCTGGCCTCCCCGGGGTATCCCACACCCTGCCTGACATCATCTCCAACCCTAGTCCCAGCCTGGGCTCCAGCCCAGAGTTGACCCTCACTCAGTCTCCTGCCCAAATAAAACCCAATCTGATAGCTTCAGATACCCCTAGCTGTAATTCTGTCTCTGGACTTTGCCATGGCCTAGCCTTGACTTCAACCCCATGCATATCCACCCCAAACTATGGTTTCCCCTGCCCTGGGCAAACCTTGACACCCACACTGTCAATAGGAGGTCGCTCAGGAGGCCTGGCAGAACCACAAACGGCGGAATGATTCTGTGATTGTGGACACTTTCCATGGTCTCTTCAAGTCCACGCTGGTGTGCCCTGATTGCGGCAACGTATCTGTGACCTTCGACCCTTTCTGCTACCTCAGTGTCCCACTGCCTGTCAGCCACAAGAGGGTCATGGAGGTCTTCTTTGTCTCCATGGATCCTCGCCGCAAGCCGGAGCAGGTATGAGGTGATGGTGATACGAGAATAGAATAAGGAGTGTAGTCAGTTTGATTACTCTGCCATACCTTAATGTTGCCCACACTAACTCATCACATACCCTTCTGCTCTTTTGTGGATACTGTTCTTCCCTCAGCACCGGCTCGTGGTCCCCAAGAAGGGCAAGATCTCGGATCTGTGTGTGGCTCTGGCCAAACACACTGGCATGTCGCCAGAAAGGGTGAGGCTCTGCAGGCACAGAGAGGGTGGGATTTAGGGGCAGGGAGGCAGAGGGCCTGGGGAGACCTTGCAGACTGACCAGCCTCCTCTCTGCATTCCATTCCCAGATGATGGTGGCTGATGTCTTTAGCCACCGCTTCTATAAGATCTACCAGCTAGAGGAGTCTCTGAGCAGCATCTTGGACCGCGATGATATTTTCATGTGAGTGAGGGGACCAGGGGATTTAGGGGCTACTCAGGAATCTCCTCGTAACCAACTTCCCTGTCCCCTTTGGCCTGACTCCCACGGCACCTGCCTTGTTCAGGGCTTTAGCCATGTGCCTTAGTAGAGCAGGAGGCTTGGGGCTGTCAGTGGGGTGGGCAAGACATCGTTTTATAGGGTGTTCTCTTTCTTCTTACATGGTGGAGGCTCATGTTTCTTTATTTTATTCAGTCACTAAGTACCTCCTGTGTGTATCAGAAGCTCGATCTTCATTCCTTAACTCCTGTTGCAGTCCTCAAAAATCAAAAGTGATTTGTGAAATAGGGAACACTAAGATATTTTTTGAACATAAGAGCATTCAGAATAAATTTGAAACCTTTGGACAGCCCAGGTGGCTCAGCGGTTTAGCGCCGCTTTCAGCCCAGGGATCGAGTCCCACGTCGGGCTCCCTGCATGGAGCCTGCTTCTCCTTCTGCCTGTGTCTGTTCCCTCTCTCCTCTCCTCTCTCTCTCTCTCTCTCTCATAAATAAATAAATAAATAAATAAATAAAATATTTTTTTAAAAAATTTGAAATCTTTGGGTAGTGGGATGCCTGGGTGGCTCAGCATTTAAGCGTCTGCCTTTGGCTCAGGGCATGATCCTAGAGTCCCACGTTGGGCTCCCTGCATGGAGCCTGCTTCTCCCTCTGCCTATTGTCTGTCTCTTTCTCTCTGTGTCTCTCATGAATAAATAAATAAAATCTTTATTTAAAAAAAGAGAAATCTTTGGGTAACTAAAATATGAAGTGCAGGGGCGCCTGGATGGCTCAGTCAGTTAAATGTCCGACTTACAATTCCAACTCAGTCATGATCTCAGGGTCATGAGATGGCGCCCTGCATTCGGCTTCCCACTCAGTAGGGAATCTGAGATTCTCTCCCTCTGCGCCTCCCTCCCACTTGCACTTGTGCACACATGCGTGCTTTCTCTCATTCTCACTCACTCAAATAAATCTTAAAAAAAAAAAAGCTAAAAAGAATAAAATAGAAAGTGCATCTTGAGTGGAGAAGATATATTTTTTTAAGATTTTATTTATTTATTTATTTATTTATTTATTTATTTATTTATTTATTTATTTATTCATAAGAGACACAGGCAGAGAGATAGGCAGAGGGAGAAGCAGGCTCCCTGCACGGAGTCTAATGCAGAACTCAATCCTTGGACCAGGATCACACCCTGAGCTGAAGGCAGATGCTCAACTGCTGAGCCACCCAGGCATCCCCGAGATCTTTTTAAACCAAGGAGTGTTTTCCTTTTTTTTTTTTTTTTTTCAAGGAGTGTTTTCCAAAAACAAAATGGTTTTAGATCCCTTTGTCACTAAAAATTGGTGTTAATCTTCTCAGTGTTTTCCTAACACCAGAGTGCTTTGTAAAACATCACAGAAACCAAGTGTTGTACCGTCTACCAGTTTGTAAAGCACATAACACTGGGTGGCTCTTCAGACCCTTTAAAAAAAAGTTCTAGGCTGGGCTGTGTGGGGTGAGTGGGTGGGGCATCGTCCACAAGTCCCTCTTGAGTGTCCTGATCAGGTGTGACCTGATGTCTCCCCCCCCCCCGCACCACCCCGCCACAGATATGAGGTGTCAGGCAGGTCTGCTATTGGTGAAAACTCCAGGGAAGACGTTGTGCTTCCTATCTACCTGCGAGAGCGCACCCCAGCCCGGGACTACAACAACTCCTACTATGGCCTCATGCTCTTTGGGCACCCTCTCCTGGTGTCGGTGCCCCGTGACCGGCTCTCCTGGGATGCCCTCTATCACATCCTGCTGTACCGCCTCTCGTGAGTCTGCCTTCTGAGGGGCAAGGGAAGGATGGGGTTTGAACTCAGACCTGGGTGTTGAGTTGCTTGTTGCCAACCCCCATCCACTTCCAAAAGACAGCTAAGCTTAACGTGGCCAGAGGGAGCTTGTAGGGTTTTTTTCTTTGTCTAAACCTCTGGCTTTGCCTCCCTCTCTCCTGGGTGTTGAGGATAACAGGGGTCAACAAAAAGGACAAAGTATACACAACTTTGTCTTATACGTGATCACTCTCTCCTTAAGGGGCATGGCTATTTGGATTTTTACTAAGAGATTTCCATTGTACCTAAAATCTGGAGCGGTGCGTTCTCTGGCTTAATCTCTCCCTAACGAGTCTGTTGCTCAGAGGCCTTCCCTGATCAAAGTTTACAGCTGATCGTGTGTTTAAAGTGGCTTATCGTACTTAAGGTCCATACTCCTTAGTCATGGCTCACGAGATCCTACCTTGTCGAGCCACCTCTTCATGCGTTTCTATGTCATCTCCTCAGCTGCTCATGTGGGGGTGTGCCAGTGGTTTCCCATCATAAGCAAAGTAGAATCCTGGGCCCTGGCCTCCCTGCCCTTGCATCCCTCCTCAAGAGGCTCCTATGTTCTCTTGGCAGGCGCTATGTGACCAGACCCAGCTCGGATGACGAAGATGACGGGGATGAGAAAGGTAAGGAAGAGGAAGGAGAGAGGATCGACAAGGATGAGGGTCTATACAAGCCATGCCAGGGCCCGAGGGAGGGTCATGGGGGTGAGGGTCTGGGGTAGGTCCACCTGGATGCGTACTGCTGTCTCAGCCGCCTGGGGCTCACACAGACCTGTGCCTGCCACCCTCCCCTAATCCTAGCAGACATAGAGGATAAGGACAACATCCCCAAACCAGGACACATGGCTGGGGCCAGCTCCCAGGATTCTGGGCCGGAGCAGGCGGGGCCCAGCTCTGGAGTCGCAGGCGGAAGCCGTGCCCCCGTGGACAACTCCCCTGGACCATCTCACTGGCCCCAGAGGGCACGGCGCAAGCACCTGTTCACCCTGCAGACAGTGAACTCCAATGGGACCAGCGACCGCTCAACCTTCAACGAGGATACCCATGGTGTCTCCTTCAGCTGTGAGCCAGGGTTGGGAGGCGGGAGGGGGGTTTCCTTGGCAGCAGGGCCCATGACCACCTCCCTCGCCCCCAGCCCAGCCGTACATTGCCATCGATTGGGAACCAGAGATGAAGAAGCGTTACTATGACGAGGTGGAGGCCGAGGTAAATGAGATCCCAGTTGTTTCCACCCCCGAAACCCTTCATACCCGCCACTACCATCCCCTCCAAGCCATGACCACGGAGCTCCCAGGGTCTTGGATTCCTAGCTTCAGAGTCCATGCTCTTCACCATGGGGCATGTGTCTTCTGCCTCCACTCCCTTTCATCTACTGTCCTCACTCCCGGCCATCTACTCCCCCTGGCCTAGGGCTACGTGAAACATGACTGTGTTGGGTACGTGCTGAAGAAGGCTCCTGTGCGGCTGCAGGAGTGCATTGAGCTCTTCACCACTGTCGAGACTCTGGAGAAGGAAAATCCCTGGTGAGGGACCAGTATAGGGGTCTGTGGTGGGTGTAGTTGGGTAGGATGGCCTGCCCAGATCCCTCTTACCTGCACATTTCCCTCCTTTGCCCCACATTCGGACCCTTCCTGCCACTCTGGCCACAAACACCCAGGCTTAGTGTCCCACCTGAGAGCACTTGTCTGTTTCTTCTTCCAGTTCTCCAGCTGTGTGCAGGACTGGACTCCTTTGGCTCATATCAGCTTATCAGAGCTCTTCTCTTACTACCCTGTTAGAAGCCACTCCCCCTGACCAAGGCAGCCTATGTCCTCTTCTCCCTCCCTGTGCCCTTTCCATCTAGCCAAGCATTACTTTGTTCCAAGCTCTGTAATACCATTTGGTGTCCTGTCCTAAATCCCCTTTTGTATCTTTCTCTCTCTTTTTTTTGTTTTTTTGGGGTTTTTTTTGTGGAAGAGTAAACCCTTGAGGGTGAAGACTTTTAAGTTTTTACTATGTGTCTCTTCTCACTGATCATAATGGTGGGTGGGGGGAGAGGTGCAGGACATGCTCAGTAGATCTTTGCAGAATAAACAAAATATAAAGGGCAACCGAGAAGGTAAAACTAGTCTCAAAAGTTAAAGCAGCATCTCTGTGGAGCAGGAGGGGAACAGAAATACAAAATAGTGGCCAAAGGAGTCAGCCATAGGTGGTCAGCTGGTAAGTCCCCAGCAAGTGAGCAAATGGAGAAAACAGAGAAGTGGAGGGACAGAGGCATGCTCTAAAATAAGATGAACAGGGGATCCCTGAGTGGCTTGGTGGTTTAGTGCCTGCCTTCGGCCCAGGGCATGATCCTGGAGTCCCGGGATCAAGTCCCACATAGGGCTCCCTGTGTGGAGCCTGCTTCTCCCTCTGCCTGTGTCTCTGCCTCTCTCTCTCTCTCTCTCTCTCTCTCTCTCTCTCTCTCATGAATAAATAAAATCTTAAAAAAAAAAAGGAATGGCTCGTGGAGCAGAAACCAAGCAAAACACACACTAGTATAAAAGCAATGTAGTACCTGATGAATGACAGGATTTGAATGTGTCAGGAGAGCAGATGAGAGGAAGGGGCAGGTGGGAAGGAAGAGCAGCATCTCTGTGGACTGCTTGGGGCCCATGGGACCCACACAGAATGGACAGCATGCGGTAGATGCCCAGCCAGTGTGTGTGCTGACTTGGGCTCTGGTTTGTAGGTACTGCCCCACCTGCAAGCAGCACCAGCTGGCCACCAAGAAGCTAGACCTGTGGATGTTGCCCGAGACACTCATCATCCACCTGAAGCGCTTCTCCTATACCAAGTTCTCCCGCGAGAAGCTGGACACCCTTGTGGAGTTTCCTATCCGGTCTGGGCGAGGGCTGGAGAAGGATGGTTGGGGTGGGGGGAGGCAGGGAGTACGGAAGGGGCACATTGGGAGTAACTGTCCTCTCCCACAGGGACCTGGACTTCTCCGAGTTTGTCATCAAGCCACAGAATGAGTCAGCTCCAGAGCTGTACAAATATGACCTCATCGCAGTTTCCAATCATTACGGGGGCCTGCGTGATGGACACTGTATGTGCCGGGCTGTGGCAGGGCTTGCCCGGGGTTGGGGGGCAGGATGTCCCGTGTGTGACTAAGATAACTGAGCCGGTGGCAAGGTCATCATGGTGGGTGGAGTGGGGAGTGACCGGGGGGACCCTCTCTGGGGCAGGAGAGTAGGTGTGGACAGCACCCCTCTCTTGCAGACACAACATTTGCCTGCAACAAGGACAGCGGCCAGTGGCATTACTTCGATGACAACAGTGTCTCACCTGTAACTGAGAATCAGATCGAGGTGTGATCTCCACCCTTCCTTCTCCCCCTCTCCTGACCCCTGGCCCGCAGCCAGCCCACGCTGACTCCTGTCCTTTCCTTGCAGTCCAAGGCAGCCTATGTCCTCTTCTACCAACGCCAGGATGTGGCGCGTCGCCTGCAACCCCAGCCCAGTTCATCTGACCCCCCAGCATCCCCTGCCTGCGGTTCCCCACCCAACTCTGAGTTCATGGATGTAAACTGAGGGGCTCTGGCCCTGCCACAGGGAAGGAAGCCATCTCTGCTCTCTTCCTTCCCACATCCATCCACCCCCACCCTCGCCCTCCTACCCGCGTTAGGTGCCCCGTGCCAGGCATTGCAGGCCTGATTGTGGCTACTGTTCTGTGCTGCTTATATTGCTCTCTTCCGGGGAAGAGGAGGTTGTGTCTCCTCCCGGCAGTGTGTTCCCCGCCTGTGTTTGCCCCTTAGAGCATTAATCTTCCCTTCTCTTCTCTATTTATGGTTGTCCCCTTCCCTCTGTCCTCAACCTGGGGTGTTCTGAGGGGGTGGTGGTGGGGTGCACCTGAACACAGAGTGTATTTTCTTATCGAGACCCTGTACCTTCTGCTGTGTATATATAAAGTGCCAGTGTGTTCCTTGGCAGTGTGTTTTTTTTCCCCCACATGGTTACTAAGCACCAGTTGGATGCCTGTGTGCTTATGTGTGCTCATTGAATGCCAGGTGTGTGATGAGTGCTTCTCCGAGTGCTCATTGAGCACCATTTTGGGAAATCTTTAGCACCATCTGCACGGCAGACATGCTTCTCAGCACCAACTGCGTACCCAGGGTTTTCCAGAGCATCTTACACACTGACTCATAATCCTCACAACTGTCTCATGTGGGAGTTCTCTCCAGTTTCAGTTGGGGAAACTGAGGTACAGAGATCGAGTAATCGCTCAGGTTCTGTCAGGAGATCCTGCCTTGTTAGTTACACCAGTGTTGGTTCCTGGAGGGGGCATTTGACTCTCTGGACCCAAGTCAGAAATCTTTCTGTGGACATGGCCTGCCCTACAGCTGATCTGAAAAAGGTGCCCTGGAACAGACAGGCATCCATGTGGGCAAATGTGTGGTTTCTGGACACAGAGTAATCATACCACCTCACAGACTCCCAGTAGTGTACTCTGAGGAGAACTGCAGAGGTGGTACACCTGACCCAAGCCAGCCAGCCTGATGGACAAATATGCTATCTGTGTTGTCCCTGTACTTAGCCTTCCTGCTCACCGACCAGGCACAGTCCTTCCGGCCCCATCCCAGGGAAGAGGGTAATGGAACACCTACCACAGAATGGGAAAAGCATAGTGTGTATGGGTATAAGACACCGTTTAAACATACCTCCCACCTGACCCATTCTGTAGGCACCAGCCACCTCCTCTGAAAAACGGCTCCTGTGATAGCCACTGGGGAGTGGAGCAGTGTAGACAAGCCCCCAGCCCTTCACACTGAGGAAGGGAATCTTGCACAGTGGTGGTTGGTTGAAGGACTGTTGGCACAGGAGGGGCCTCCACATCCCTCTAGTGAGTCCCACACTGAGGGTCACTCGGCCCAGCATTACCACTGGCAAACCTCCCATCCCAGTCATGCCATTGACCCCCGGCAAGAATGGAGGTAGTTGCTGTGAGGAACCCAACTCAATAGACACTAATTCCCGGTAGGACCAGATCCAGGAACTCAAAAAAGTGGTCATTTAATCTTCACAAAGACCATTATGATTTGAACACTATTACCTGATTTTTGTTTTTGTTTGTATTTTAAGATTCCATTTATTTATTCATGAGAGACACACAGAGAGAGCGGAGCAGAGATCTAGGCAGAGGGAGAAGCAGGCTCCTTGCCGGGAGCTGGATTCAGGACTCAATCCTGGACTCTGGGATCAAGCCCTGAGCGGAAGGCAGATGGTCAACTGCTGAGCCACCCATTTTGCAAATGAGGAAACAAGTATAAAGAGCTAGTTCAGAATGCTCCTTAAGTACAGGAAGACCTCATTACCTATGCATAATCAGTCCTGGACAAAGGCCTAAAGGGAAACCATTTAAAATTACTTGCCTGATGTAACCAAAAATCTCTTGAAATGACAACACGTCGGGGCCTGGGTGGCTCAGTCGGTTAAGCAACTGTGTTTGGCTTGGGCCATAACTCTGAGTTCTGGCATCGAGCCCCCAGTTGGGCTCCCTACTCAGTGGGGAGCCTGCTTCTCCCTCTCCCTCTGCCCCCCTCTCTCAAATAAGATCTCTTTAAAAAAAAAAAAAAAAGGAATGACAACACGCATAAGAATCAGAAGTGTGAGGGGCAATCCTGGTGGCTCAGCGTTTAGCCGCCTTTGGCCCAGGGCGTGATCTTGGAGACCCGGGTGGAGTCCCATGTCAGGCTCCCTGCATGGGGCCTGCTTCTCCCTCTGCCTGTGTCTCTGCCTCTGTCTCATGAATTTTAAAAAAGAAATCTTAAAAAAAAAAAAGAATCAGAAGCATGAGGCAATGGACACAGCTACACAGAGATGCCTACATTAGAATTCTCAGAAATCAATGTAAAAAGTTGTGCTGACTCTGGTCATGGAAGTAAAGATGATAGTTTAAGTGAACAAGAAATGTAAAACTTAAAAATGAAAATAAGTTGAAAAAGAACCAAGAAGTGATAGTCCTGAGATAGGTAATAACAAAATTTAAGAAACCAATAGGTTTGTTGAACAACACACTATATGCAGCCGAGGAAGAAATTGGTGAATTGGGTAGATGTTAAAGCAGGGGCACCTGGCTGGCTGAGTTAGAGCCTGTGACTTGATCTCAGGGTTGTGAGTTCAAGCCCCAATTGGGCATAGAGCTTACATAAAATGAGTAAATAAAATATATAACAGTTAGAGGTTAAGTGTACCAAGGAAAGTATCTTGCAGATTTTAAGTTGGACTAAAAACTGTATTTTGATAAACCAAGGGTAACCAATTAAAGAATAGGAAAGATACACATTTCAAACAAATGGAAATAGAATGATGAATTATCAATCCAGAAGGGAACATAGAGTAAGGTGGATGGATAGAGAGCACATAAATGATCATTTACAAATAAAGTCATCTCTGTCCCCTCAGTTCAAGGAAGGGGACTGGGAACTGGGCTGCCACTTCAAGAGCATGGCTGTCACCGTGCCAGGGAGAGGGTCGGATGAGGGTGGGTAAGAAAGCCCAAAACTTTCCTACAGCTTTGAAGGTGGCTTTCTCTTAATTGGATGCTTGCTCCATTGCTGTAAAACTCCATTCTCTAGGGCTCTGACATGGTTTGTTCTGATGTTTCTTCTTGGTGTTTGGTTTTTGGTGTTTCTGTTGGAGAACGAGAGCTTGAAGGTTCCCAGTCTGCCATTTTGCTGATGCCAAAGTGTATTTAAGTGTATTTCTTTTTTTTAAGATTTTATTTATTTATTCATGAGAGACACACAGAGAGAGAAGGGCAGAGGGAGAAGCAGGTTCCGTGCAGGGAGCCCCACGTGGGACTCAATCCCGGTTCTCCAGGATCAGGCCCTGGGCTGAACTCAGGCACTAAACCATTGAGCCACCCAGGGATCCCCTTAAGTGTATTTCTTAACACACTTAGGTAGCATTTAGATGGATCTTTAATCTGATCTGACAATATCTGTGTTTAATTGGGGTGATCATTCAGTTAATGTGATTATTGACATTTAAGCAAGTTGAGTCTTTCATCTGGCTGTTGGTTTTCTATTTATCCAATTCCCTCTTTTCCTTTTCCCTCTTTTTCTGCTTTATTTTGGATTAGGTATGTTTTTTTAATGATTCCACTTTAGCTCTTTTGTTGGCTTATTAACTGTAATTCTTGATTTTATTTACTGATTGCTTTGAGGTTTATAGTATACATCTTTAACTTCAAGTGATAGATACCACTTTGCATATAGTATAAGAACTTCCCTGGGGTACCTGGGTGATTAAGTGGTTGAGCATCTGCCTTTGGCTCCAGATCCCAGAGTCCTGGGATCGAGTCCCACATCAGGCTCCCTACAGGGAGCCTGCTTCTCCCTCTGCCTATGTCTCTGCCTTTCTCTGTGTCTCTCATGAATAAATAAAATCTTAAAAAACAAAACAAAAAAAGAACTTCCCCATAGTGTGCTTCCATTCTCCTGCTTGGACTTTTACTTTTACATGTATAAACCCCAAGATACATTGGGTATTTTTTCTTTAAACAGTTAATCACTTTAAAGAGATTTAAATATGGCAGCCTGGGTGGCTCAGCGGTTTAGCGCTGCCTTCAGCCCAGAACCTGATCCTGGAGACCCAGGATCGAGTCCCACATCGGGCTCCCTACATGGAGCCTGCTTCTCCCTCTGCCTGTGTCTCTGCCTCTCCCTCTCTCTCTCTTTCTGTGTGTCTCATGAATAAATAAAATCTCTATTTTTTATTTTTTTAATAAATAAAATCTTAAAAAAAATAAAGAGATTTAAACAATAAGAAAATGAATTATGTATATTTATCATGCCATACCATGGTTACCATTTCCAGCGCTTTTTATTCCTTTGTGTAGCTCCTGATTTCCACCTGGTATCCCTTGCCCTCTGCCTGAAGGGCATCCTTTATTTTTATTTTTTTAAGGGCATCCTTTAATATCTCTTAGAGTGTAGGTCGGCTAGTGATGAATTCTCTGTTTTTGAATGTCTGAAAATGTCTTTGTTTCACCTTATTTTTTAAGATTTTATTTATTTATTCATGAGAGACACACAGAGAGAGAGGGAGAAAGGCAGAGGGAGAAGCAGGCTCCCTGTGGGGAGACTGATGTGGGACTTTATTCCGGACCCTGGGATCATGCCCTGAGCTGAAGGCAGATGCTCAACTTCTGAGCCACCCAGGTGTCCCTCACCTTATTTTTTGAAAGATATTTTCATGGGTATAGAATTCTAGGTACACAGTTTCTAGTTCCTTCAGTACTTTAAAGATGTTACTCCAGTGATGTTTGGGTGGCTCAGTCAGTTATGTGTCTGCCTTTGGCTCAGGTCATAGTCTTGGGGTCCTGGGATTGAGCCCTGTATTGGGCATCCTGCTTGGTGGGGAATCAGCTTCTCCCTCACCTTCTGCCTCCTCCCCCCTGCTCATGGTCCTCTCTCTCTCTCTCTCTCTCTCTCTCCTCAAATAAATACAAATCTTTAAAAAAAAATTTTATTTTTTTAAAGATTTTATTTATTTATTCACGATAGTCACACAGAGAGAGACAGAGAGGCAGAGACACAGGCAGAGGGAGAAGCAGGCTCCATGCAGGGAGCCCGACGTGGGATTCGACCCCGGGTCTCCAGGATCGTGCCCCGGGCCAAAGGCAGGCGCCAAACCACTGCGCCACCCAGGGATCCCTAAAAAAAATTTTTAAATTAAGATGTTATTCCACTGTCTTCTTGCTTACCTTGTTTCCAGTGGGAAATCTGTCATTTGTGCTTGTGTACCTAGTATGTCCTTCTTGGCACTTGGCTGCTCTGAATATTTTTCTTTTTAGCACTGGTATTGAGCAATTGGATTATGATATGCCTTGGTGTAGTTTCTTCATGTTTATTGTGTCTGGGTTTCTTTGAGATTCTTGGGTCTCTGGATGTCTAGTATTCAACAGATTTGGAAACATTTTGGC